TGGGAGGTTATTATATATGCAATATCATACTGAGTTTGGAAGGAAAGAGGAAGGATGAAGAAGGAACGGCCCCAGCTTTGCACCGGTAGCAGTTGTTCTACCACATGACTACAGTCGGTGTGCATTTGGGCACAGCTGTGCCCACTTAGCACTGCTACTGGGTGTGTTGCTCTGACAAGCGTGCCCGAGAGATCTTGGTAGCTCTGAAGCTGGATGGCTTCATAGGGTAGAAGGGTAACACGCAGCTTGCTGCCTGCAGAATAAATGAGGTCTTGGAATCTCACACTTCCCTTGAGATGGATCTCTACATCAGTGCTCTTATGCCATGCAATGACAGAGAACTCTCTGTACGTTTTGGAGATGTCTCCCAAAGGTGTGAGAACATAATACATCATTCCTAGATTCTGGATAGAATAGACAGCTGTGGTGTCAACTGAATTTTTCTTTGAGCTCAAGGCCATGACAGAGATATTTTGATTGGCTGTCACCAAGACAGTGTGGCAGGATTTAACGGTGCCAACCATCTCTACATAAGTAGGGAGCTTCACTACCACGGTCTCTCCTGGGGGAAGCGAGAACTCTTTCTGGAAGGTGGATTTATAGACTAAGACGTTAACAGTAGTGAGGGGAAACTCCCCAGTGATGATAAGCTGAAATTCAGCCTCTGAATAGTCTAACTGGTAATTTTGCATGAAGGCTGTGATGAATTCCTGGCCGACAGGCGCTACAGCATGGAGATCTACAAGGAAGGGAAAACACAGAAAAATAAGGGCCAGGAAACAAAGCAACATATATGAAGGTTTGCATAACCTGAAATGTCCTTTCATCGAATGGGATCATACCACATGCTTAACCATATCAGGGAAAAACCCTCCCTTTACACAATTTCTAAAAGTTTGCTTAACGCTAACCATTGTAACTGCAGGGAGGGGCAGACTTTGTTATGTGAACCCACCCCATTTAGTTTTCTGATGGTTCAAGGTTCCATACAAACCTCCAACATGAGTTAATTCAGTAACCCGATTGAGTTTAGTCTCTGAATACAGACTTTGTAAAATCCTAGAGAACGACAAAATGGCCTGCTGCAGGGGTATCCAATTTTGGCAACTGGTGGACTTCAACTCCCAGAATTCCCCAGTCAGCTATGGCTGGTTGGAATATTCTGGGAATTAAAGTCCTCAATACTTAAAGTTGCCAAGGTTGGATGCCCTTGGCCTACGGTAGACTCCCCACTATCTGGGGTGTAAATTAGTCCCATCACCCCAAAAGCTATCACAGATTTATAATAATGATATGACAGAACATGAGGAACAATTACAGCAACTACATTTAACTCAAATTTAATCAAGTGAGATTTTGTTCTATTTTTCATCCATTTCTTCAGCCAGGACATGTGTACCTTCTGAAATGCGACCCCTGTTATGTTCTTTGATATCCTCATGAGTCAAAACAGATTTGACATTCCTGGCTTAAGATTGGTGTTTTCAAGCTGTTACATGGCCACTAGTGCCAAAACTGGATAAATAGTCCTCAGATTGCTGTTTTAACTAGTTCTTAACATGGGTTTCTAATAATAATAATAGTTAAATTGATATGTCACTGACTCTGGGCAGCTTACACATTTTGTAAATGTTGTTATGTCTCATCTTTTAGCCTCTTCTTATAACTGACATCTGCAGGTGAACAGCCTGGAGGATTTTGTGTGCAAAAGGACACATATCCATTTCGTAAATCTCTCTAAACTAAGTAATTCTGGGAAAAGAGTAATCATTTCTGTTCCACGGTGATCTTTTCACATGAACATGACAGAGAAGCCGTTTAAGGTGTGTTTGCTATCAGCTCAGGAAATTGGATACAGAATAATATGTCTAAGCTACTGAAAGACAGATTTCTGTTGAATGTCTAAAGTAACATTCCTGAGTGGTTTTACAGAGGAATTAATTACTAAGAAGATTTGATGGGCTTCTCTCTACCAGATGCATTCGTACAGAGGCCAAACTGCCATCTATTTGGGGTGCTTTAATTCCAATCTTTTGCACAAAGCAGGGTTGACTCAGCGACCTCAGTCTTTATTTCTACAAATCAACAGGCACTCTTGACACATTTATGAGCGATCCACAATTAGAACAATTTCAACTGATTACCTCCTTAAAATATTTAGCAAACACACCGAGGAGAAGGTTCACCTGTGAATGTTTTCAATGCATAATAATTCACCTCCAGATTAAAGTATTTCACAGAATTCCTGGTTTCCCAGAGTTCATATTTCTTCAAAGCATACCAACCAGGATAGTTTAATATCTTGGCACTTACTGCAACTCAAATCCCAGAGCTGTTTTCTTTCCTGACTCTGTGATGTGAATCTGCTCTGGAGTTTTACCTAAATTCAATTTGCAATTTATTCATCTGATTCATGAATCCAGGGGGTGTATAGGCATTTGTTTCGAGATTATTTCCTACTCACCTGCGAGCAAGGCCAGTCCTATGGCTAGTGGCAGCAGCCTATAAGTCCCCATGGCTGTGAAAAAGAGAGTGGAAAATGGTAATTAAGGACGAGGAACTGGATGAGAGTAACAGTTCAATATGTACTTTATTTTTATCCCACCTTTATTATTTTTATAAATAGCTGAAGGAGGTGAACATATCTAATACTTTTTCCTCCTCCTCCCACAGTCACAACCCTGTGAGGTGGGTCGGGCTGAAAGAGAATGACTACTAGCCCAAAGTCCACCCAGGAGGAAGAAGTAATATTTAGCATGTTCACCTCCTTGAGTTATTTATAAAAATAATAAAGGTGGGATAAAAACAATCTAAACAAATCTAAACTACAGAAAGAAAGAAAAAAAAGCCATTTGTACTACAATGCCCATAAAAACAGGATTCCTCCCCACCTCTCCATGCCTGTTATTCTGAAATCCTGAAACTATAAAAAGACACAATAAATTTAGAAGTCATAAAAAACAGTGATACAAAGCAATGTAAAATTGATATGGTACTCAAGAAGCGATTTGAAAAATTGGTCTCTCTCTCTCTCTCTCTCTCTCTCTCTCTCTCTCTCTCTCTCTCTCTCTCTCTCTCTCTCTCTCTCTCTCTCTCTCTCTCTCTCTCTCTCTCTCTCTCACTCACACACACACACACAAAATTTTGCGGCTTGATTTTTGCAGCTTTTCCAGCAAATAAATCCCATTCAATTCAACGGGATGTATTTCTGATTAGAGTTAGCAAAAACTGGAATGGGCTGGACCTTCACCTCCAATTCTTTTTCTGATGCTCCCAATCCCTTGAAATGGTTTTAGGGTTTGTGTGTGTGTGTGTGTGTGTGTGTGCACGCAGGGGGAAGAGAAACTTTGGTTTTTCTCATTTATTTTGATGAAAAGATTGATTAAATGAAGCAACCCATTTTAACATGAGTGGAACGGCTTCAAAACGCTCATTATTGTTTCACACCAGCTGTGGCTAATTTAAAAAATATTTCTTTTTTCTATTAGGGTTGCAACATTTTCTTCAATTCATTGGTTCATGGAGCTGCTCCAGAATCAATCAAAACCATTTTCCCCCATGCACAACTCAAAATGCTTTTAAAAAAATAATAATAATAATGCCTGCCATGATAAGAACATTCAATTATCTTTTTTTTAAAGGATGTTTCCTCTTTTTATTTAAATATACTATTTTATTCAGAGGCAAATTGCTCAAGCTGCAACTGAGTAATGCTCATATTAACATTTGAGGGGATATGTCTATTTTGGGGGCTAGATTTACACCTGGTGCCGGAAATCTTTGGATGCAGCCCTAGAGATTCTCCAAACATGCCTCTCAAGCGGTAATTTTTAAGGTGACAGCATAAGCAATTACGATATTAGTAACAATTGTGAGAGGGTTCTTGGAATCCTAAGGCACAATCACTTAAATACAAGCTTGCAGTGTGCTGCCGCTGCCAAAAAAGCCAACGCAGTCCTAGGCTGCATTAACAGAGGGATAGAAAAATTTTGAGAATGGCTTCTGATGTGCATATTCTTTTGAAAAAGTATCCCAGATTATTGTCAGATTTCTAGGGAATTATCTGCTCCAGTGTTTTCCCCAGCTTGGTATCTTCCATCTACCATGAGATAGAAATCCATCCATTTGGGAATTTTGGAGGATGTGTTCACAGAAGAAGAGGCTGTATTATATAATCTTCAGGAGATAACAGAATGGAAGGGTTGGAAGGGTTGGAACAGTTGGAAGGGTTCCTTGGAGGTCTTCTAGACCAACCCCCGGCTCAAGCAGGAGATCCTATACCATTCCAGACAAGTGACTGTCCAGTCTTTTCTTAAAAGCCTCCAGTGTTGGAGCACCCACAACTTCTGAAGGCAAGCAATGGCTGGTTAATTGTTCTAACTGTCAGGAAATTTCTCGGTTGCTTCTCTCCTTGATTAGTTTCCATCCGTTGCTTCTTGTCCTGCCTTCAGGCGCTTTGGAAAATACCTTGACTCCCTCTTCTTTGTGGCAGCCTCTGAGATATTGGAACACTGCTATCATGTCCCCCCTCGTCCTTCTCTTCATTAAACTAGACATACCCAATTCCTGCAATCGTTCTTCATACATTTTAGCCTACAGTCCTCTAATCATCATATACTCTTCTCTGTACTTTTTGTAGAGTCTCAACATCTTTTTTATGTTATAACAACTAAAACTGGAAACAATATTCCAAGTGTGATCTTACCAAGACATTATAAAGTGATTTTGATTCAATCCCTCTATTAATGCAGCCTAGAACTGGGTTGGCTTTTTGGCAGCTGCAGCACAAAACAAAAAACAGAGAGCTGTTTGATTGCCACTTAACCACCTTCAGGAAGAGAGAATTCCCCACCTGTTCCATCACAAGACCCTCACTTGAACACCCACACCTGAAGAACATGGACACTAAACTCCGCTGAAGATGTTACCTAGCCCGGTAATGAAACATTCAGAAACCAACCCACAAGCTCGGAGAACGAACCTTCACCCTCCTAATTCCCCATATTTAGTGGCCATCATTCTTCCATTACAGATAGTTCTCAACTTACCACTACAGTTGAGCCCAAAATTTCCATGGCTAAGCAGTGGTAACGTGAGCTGCACCCCAGTTACGATCTTTTTGCCACAGATGTTAAATGAATCACTGCAGTTATTAAGAGACTCATCTGGTCGTTAAGCAAATCAAGCTTCCCCCATTGACTCTGCTTGTTGAAAGCCAGCTGGGAAGCTTACAAAATGGTGATCACCTAACCGCAGAAAAATGCAACCGTCATAAATGCATGCTAGTTGCCAAGCACCGAAATTTTGATCACTTGACTATGAGGATGCTACAACAGTTGTTTCAAGTTCAGTGCCATTGTAACTTCAAACGATCCCTAAACGAATGTTGCAAGTTGAGGACCACCTGTATTTAGGCAATGTGTACAATGACTTTACCTTCCCATGTTTGTTTCACAAGAAGTTAAGAGTATCCCACTTACCTGCCGATGAGAGGCTGTATCCCAACACCACTTTTGCAGACTTTATATATTGGTGGGAATCTAAAACGCATTCAAACATAGGAGTGACCGGTTGAGTCATTATTGCTTCTGGGAGGAGGGAGGCTAAATGTGGCTTTGGGTCAATACAAACTCAGTTCTCCTTGCTCATCAGGGTGTAGCCCAAGTATTGAGGTTCAGATCCTAGCTAAATTTTCTATAGTTTTTTCTTAGTAGAAGTAAAAGAATTTGAACATTCTCTTTTTTATCTCCATCCTGCATCAGTTTATTTGGTGTAATTTCCCATGCTCTTTCATTAATTTTGTTCTCTGATATGTTTACAGAAAGTTAACCTTTTTGGAGAATTTCCCTGTGGAGGTCTTTGATAGTATAATCAGATACATATTTTTACTGATGTAATTCTGAGATCAATGAAGTACAGAATTTATAGGACTTGAGTTTACATAAATACCCAAGATGGGCTGATAATATTTCTTATCTGGTTTGTAATTTTCCGTTCAATTCTGCCTTAATCTTTAAATTTTAAGATTTCAAAAATTCACAACATATACATTATTTATGAGCATATTTATCTTTTTTTTTAAAAAAAATTAAACATTTCTAAATGCATTTCCTTCACATTATATCTCGATTCCGAATACAAAGTTTATTTGTGGTTTTGCACTAGAAGTGTGACTTCACCGTTTGCATTACAACCTGCAATTTGTTTGAAGCAGTTTCAAGCACACTTACGTGGAAGAAAGTTTTGCTGAAGAAAGTGGAATTTTACTTTTAGCAAATATATTTGCTAAGGTCTCAGCAGCATAGTGGCCTAGAGGTGGAGCTCTCGCCTCACAATCAGGAGGCTGTGAGTTCAATCCTAGGGTAGTGGCAGATAATCCTCTCTTGGGGTGTATAGAGAAAATATCTGCTGTGAGCTCCACGTAGGTGTCAGGAAGGGCATCCAGCCAGTAAATACTCAGCTCCATTCAGTCACCCTGACTCCACCCCGATGCAAGGGATTATGGGGTCATTAAAAGAGAAAAAAAAAGGTTGCTAAGGTCTGGTTGAGTCTTATCTCACAAACATTGGAGAAGTTGAGTTTGACCTATTCCTTAATAGAAAACTATTTTAGGAAAAAATGGGCCATTTGGGTTTCTTATACTCTAACACAGTTCTTAACTAAGCATTGATCTCATAACATTATTTAGGATGGGAATATTTCCAGAGGAGTTTCAGAAGAAAAAGTTACTTAACCTCTATCGTTTTCCTCTACTTTAGCCTTTAGGCCATTTTCTGCTTCAAGTATTTTCAGCATCTTTTTCTTTTTATTTAGCCTTTCTCAGAACTTTGCATTTAAATGTTTGCTGATCCATCCTATCAATATTTGTTGCCCGTTTTCACAGGGGATTAAATAGGAAGGGATTTTCACCTTCATGGCTCTTTAATCTTCTATTGACTGAAACTATGTACAGCAAAGGAATTAAGTCTCATGAAGCTTCTCTGAACTCAACCATGACACATCACAAATACAGTTTTGATAACTTCCTGAATTGGATGCCTTTTGTTATATACCACTTTATAGATCTGGGCTGCAACATGCTAATAGAGGTATTGATGATAAAACAATAACACTTTCTCAACTTACCAGGAGTGTGTGATGGTGGGTTCCATTTCAAATCAGTTGGCCTCATCTTCTTATATTACATTTTGTTTCAAAGATAAGGCAGTCAGGTATACCCAGGGGTGATGCAAAAAGTCTAAAAACCCCACAGCAGGATTAGTTCAGAGGAAATATTCAGCAGCCGTTATCATCCATTCATTCGTTCATTCATTCAGTTCTCTGCTTTTAAAGAGCTCAAGATGACTTACAAGAAGCCATCTTTATTTTATTCTTTCAACGTCAACTTGGTAGAAAAGATGAAGCTGAAAGAAAGTAACTGGCCCTATGTCACCAGGGTGTCTTTCATGATCAATGAGTTTTGGAACTGTAGGAGTTTTACTTTAGCACAATTCAATAGTCTAACCATGATACCATATAGAAGCACCCTTGCCTCCATAAAACTGAAGGAACTGTTGAAGGAACTATGAAGACTAACAGACAATGGAAATCATAAAGGCTGCATTCACACATAATATTGTCCTCAAATGTTACCACATATTTTGTACTACATATTTTAAGCTTCCTGAATGGGCATAATATGTGACACTCACATGCTACACAGAGGTCATTTGACCATCATCCAATTAACCTTTCCTTTCCTCCCATCAATCCATCCATCCATCCATTATTTACATACTGCTGTAATCTGTATAGAATCTTGATAGGAGCATGGGTAACATGAAAACATAAGCAGTCCCCTAGTCCAGCAAGTTGTTCTCACCATGACCAACCAGCGGCACATGACCAACCAACGGCCAACAAATCTCCTAGCAGATGACCTTCAGAGGCAGACATACCTCTATAAAGGCTAAGAGCCATGGATCACCATGAATTCCATAAACTGGTTCAACCCCTGTTTGAAGCCAGCCAAGCTGGTAGCCTGCACCACCTTTATTTTATTTATTATTTATTTATTTGTTTATTAAATTTCTATCCACCCATCTCCTTTACAAAATGATTCAGACAAGGTGATTCCCTTATAAGGTGATTCTGGACTCTGACCGTTCATAGTGGTTAATTCCAAAGTTGAACTACACATCATGTAAAAAAAAATTCCTTTTGTCTGTCCAGATTCTTTGAGGATTCAGTTTTATTTTATTGGCTGATCTCTGGTTCTAGTTGTTTGGAGAAGGGAAAATGACTTCTCCTTGTCCATTTTATCCACACTGTGCATGATTTTGTACCCCACAATCATGTCCCCTCTCCTTCACCTCTTTTCTAAACTAAAAAGGCCCAAATATTGCAACCTTTCCTCATCAGAAAACTGTTCCAGCCCCTTCAACATCTTAGTTTACATCCTGTGTCATTTTGCATTCTGCAATTTACAAATCTTAGCACAGTCAATTTATAGAGAACCATTTTCAGATTAGAGATTTCACCCTCTTTCAATTTAAATTATGTACAAAAAAAAACACAGATATTTATAAGAATGAATGATACCATGTCTGAAGTATATAAGCACCCTTGCCTCTAACTTAGGCATTTTTCAAATTCAAATGTCATCAGATGTGGGGAAAGAGGGCAGTTAAAATCAGACTTAATACATGTTGAAATTTAATCCTTCCATCTCAGTTTGCATCAGGAGAAATCCAGCATCAATCTGTTGATGCAGAAAGAACCAGCATGGGTTTGTGATGTCATGAAATATTTGCTACAATAGCCACTGTTGCTTCTTGGTTCAATACTGTACAGTGCCTCAAATAGTAAATTCTATGAAGATAATTTCTTAATGCAATGACACAAGTATTTCATCTTGCTACATGAGCTTTGTCCAGTAAAGTTAGATGGCATCTTTTCTTTCGCTTTGCCTCATTAAACCATGACAAATTACACTTAGCCATGATTTATGGCAGTGTCCTTGATTACCAGTAGAAAGCCATCATAGATTCTGGAAACCTAGCACAGACTCAGCCAGAGATGTGAACAGAGCCAGCGTGATCTTTCAGTTGTCCTAGAGTGCCCAACCTTGGCCACATGAAGATGTATGGACTTTGACTCCGAGAATTCCCAGAACTCCTATGCTTGGGGAATTCTGGGAGTTGAAGTCCACACATCTTCAAGTGGCCAAGGTTAGGAAACACTGCTCTTAGAGGGTGTTTTCACACTAAGACTCCTAAGCCATCCTCCTTCCATTGTTGACTAGTCAAGGAATTTCAAACAGAAGTGGACTTCAGGTTTAATCAAATCCAGACAGAATTTAACTAATCTTTACTTAGAATACCACATCAAAGCACAAGGAAGCAGAGAAAATCTGAAGTTGGACTTTCCCAAAGTATCTGATATTACAACAGTGTGTAAGGAAACTTTCCCCCTTAATATGTACTTCTGGGTGCACTTTTTTTTTTTTGAAGATGAAAACTGCCTTGCAAATCTAAAAAAAAAAAAAAAAGAGCATTCAGTGTATAATTGTTTTCCAGTTCATATAGTCCTATTCTTTCCCCCATGAAGCCAATGCAATAAAAACCACCGAGATATCCAAATTATTCAAATCAGAACAGAATTTTCCTTATGCTTGCTGTTTTCTGGTTTTAGCTTAACAGACCATGCCATCAGACGAGGAATCCATGCTTGCATGTATATGAGCTTTAACTGCTATGATTATAGCAGACTGATTAGTTATTTCTCTGCTGAGTTTTCTCCGTCAACCTTATCCTTAGGCGAGTAAGGAAGAGCACAACTGTAATTTGAATTAATCCTTTCTGGTCATCCCCTCATTTCTATAAGCCTTCCACGACTCTGTTTCCAAGGGTGGAAAATAACTACTGTCGAACACTCTGCAGACATTTTAGAAATTGAAATTACAGGCCCCTGGAAAATACTGCTACTAATAAAGCTACAAAAGTGGGATGAAAAGCTAACAGAACTTTATCGGCTAAATCCGAAAGGGAAAACCAGAACTGCAGATAATTAACAGATGCTTGGAAGATCCACAGAGAGCCCCTCGGTAGCCTGTAATTTGTACTGTAGCAAAAGGGAAACGTGGTTAGATTTATGGAGAGTAGTCATATTTGTACATCATTAATTTCATTTTAAAGACGTACTTTGAATTGATTTATTTGGCTGGCAGCCACACTTTTCGGGATGGGGCCAATGGTATGTGAGCTAGACGCCAAGTATTTCACTTCAACCACTACCACCCCCTGTCTGATTCTCAAGGGGAAGGCAGAGATTATGGGTTATGGATGCCCCAATGAAGTGCCTTTCCATCCAGACAAAGGTTAAATCTCCTTCAATTTGAGTTTGACTTCAGTATCTTAATGGAAGGTCCATATATTCCCTTGAGTCTAGCATCCAAGAACTAACCATGTTTGACCCTATTTGACTGTGCTTTGCACTAGGCTTGGCTGGAAGGAGTAGTGGAGCAAAATCCCTAACCACCTATGAGCTCTCTGCAAAAGAGCAGAACAAGACCCACATCTTTGCAGTCTGCTGATCTCCTG